CTAAAGCACAACACAAACTCTTTAATAATTCATTGTGAAAGAGCTTGTGACAGAGCCTGTGTCAGAGCCTGGGCCACCTGTGGTTTCAATCTCAAAGTGGGGGCGACTGAAAGTTTAGTTTAACACGAAGTTGCATTCAAGAACATTTTGAACGAAATTTACCCTAGGTAAGGCCACAATTCCCTTCTCTTTTCGTAATCTTATCACAAGTCCGCATGAATTAATTACTGTAAGTCTGCAATTGTAGATAACGAACGAAGAACCACGTTTTCGGGTTAACTTTGTAACCAAGCTTTCGTACTTAGTAGCCCGGCCTTCTCTGGCACCCAAGGGTTCGTTCCTTTTTTTTTTTTTTTTTGCCCGACCGACCGACCCACCCTCACGAGGAGGGCGATGGGAAACGAAACATTAAATTGGGATGGCCTTATGAACGCCAAACTGCGTTTTGGCCTCACAATAAAACCTTCCAAGACAAGTGCACGGATATTTCTAAGTTTTTGTTAAAGCTGAAATTTGGTTTTGAAGCTTAACTTGACCCTATCAACTGAAATGATCTCTGAAAGCCTCCGTGAAATCACCCAGAACTGCTCACTCTTTTGGAAACCAAACCGCAGTTAACAGATTGTTGCAGTAACACGAACTTGCTGCATTTACAAAATCTCAACACTCATGGAGAAAAAGAAGCATTTACAGTAGTTAGCTTTTTGTAGGAAATAAAGGTGCTTTAAAGTAACCTTGTGGTAAAATAGCGTGCATAAATTTACATCGACATTAATTAAGATATATCAAATTTACACGAAGTTTGTAAAATCGCGTTAATAGGTTACAGTCAAACTAAGTGAAGCGTACCCCTCAGGATTACATTAATGATTTGATTATTTGAATTTTGAACCCGCTAATCGTTTCATGGGCGCAATAACGAATTGAATATTTGAACATCGAACCCGCTAATCGTTTCAAGAATGCAATAGTGGATTGGTTATTTGAATATTGAACCCGATAGCCGTATTCGTTTTGAAAAGGCGCGGATCATTGTTCAAATAAGAAGTCCATTTGTGATTGGGTTATGCGAACACTTGAGAATGGATCGGAACCATTTCAACATGGCGTCAGACATGGCGAGAAAGGTGAGTTCGAGTGCACGTGCACGTGTTGTGTAGAACTTCTTGTAAATGTTGTAAATGGAATGTTATCGAGAGCTTTTTTTCGCCTATTTACATCTTGACGAACTTGTAGAAATTCTTCTGTGTATTCATGGGCGAAAAAAATAGTTTACGGGCGAAGCCATCGCAAGACTTTTATTTCGTAAATATTTGCGATCGACTGTTTTCGCAGTGTTTTTACAGTGCAGCTTGTTCATTTTCAGGATTCCTCGTCAAATAGAACAATCTTATTGATCCAATCAGGAAATGGACTTCTGATTTGAACAATGATCCGCGCCTTTTCAAAACGGATGTACAGAGAGGCATTCTGGAATATATAGAAGTAGGGTGTGGACAAAACCTGGCGTGGGCCATGGCCTACCCTGTGGCCTACCCTGTGGCCTACCTATGGCCTACCCTATGGCCTACCGGTGGTCAGATTTTTAAGAACATAAAAATAAAATCAGTAAGAGTCGAACGAATACGCTGGTGTACAATTATCTGTCTCTGAAAAGGGTATACTAAGAGGTCGCTAACACGATTTTCAAAGTCCGAGGGAACGAAACACTTCAAATATCACAGCACTCAACCATAACGGTAGGTTAAGGGGGGAGGGGGGGGGGGAGGAGGGCCAATATTGCGTGGTCGAAGAGAATATACAAAATGGCGGCTTTATGATGCAGGCTGTCAGTTGGTAACATATAGTGGAGTGCTAGTGTAAAAATGTAATGAACGGCGTTATATTGGAGTGCATACATATCCAGGTAAGAAAACGCAAACATTACGTGCCAGGCCAATTTTTTAAGTGCCCTCAAGTGGTGTAGAGTATTGAATTTGCAACGAGCACCCCGGGACACGCACGCATCGCTGTCGTAAACATTTCGCAAACTTTACTTGCTTTTCCAAAGAAAGGGCCAGTATTGCACTAATTTGAAAGGAGGGCTGATATGATGATGTTTGCCCAAAAGTTGCGTTTAACCGGCTTCTGTTCCTTGATTTCCTTATTCTATCAGAAGGTTAAGAAATTTTGATCAGAATGTGGCCGCCAAAACAGCAGAAGAAAGTCGTTGGTGAGACAGTACTCAGGAAAACGTTGAAAGGTTTCCAGCAATGCTATTCTTTTAAAAATCTGACCACCGGTAGACCATAGGGTAGGCCACAGGGTAGGCCACAGGGTAGGCCACAGGGTAGGCCACAGGGTAGGCCACGGGGTGGGCCATAGGGTAGGCCACAGGGTAGGCCATAGGGTAGGCCACAGGGTAGGCCACAGGGTAGGCCATGGCCTAGGCCAGGTTTTGTCCACACCCGTAGAAGTACCATCCAATCGAACGGAAGTACGATCCAATGAAACAGGGATACGATCCAATGGAATGCAAGTGGCGATTAGTTTGCATTTTTGTCCAGAATGCCCCTCCATAGGGATTAGGGATACGCGTATCGGGTTCAATATTCAAATAATCAATCCATTATTGTATTCGTGAAACGGCTAGCGGGTTCAATAATTAAATAATAAATTCATTATTGCATTCTTGAAACGACTGGCGGGTTCAACATCCAAATGATCAATTCATTAATGTAACCTTGAGGGTACGCTTCACTTAGTTTGACTGTAAGTTGTTTAAACAACAGGGAAAAGGAGTGACGTAACGGCAGAAAATAGATTTCATTTTCAGTTTCAGAGAGTGCCCTTTACATCGATTTCACAACGAGTAGTTGTGCCATCGTTTTCTTGGTAGTTTTTCTAGTGGAAGTTTCTAGTACACAGACTCACATTCATAGACGAAACCATGTAACGTCGTGTACACAAACGGCGTTTCTGATGCAATCCTTTCGTGGTTTGGTTTCTCGAAGTGATAGTCCAAGGCTAGAGGCGTTAATTGTGATGTGACTAGATGAAGACAGCATTTACTAGGAATATTCAGTAAGGTAATTAATCGGGTCAGATTCACGTTTTCCTCATTGAGCAACACAAAAAATATAAAACATATCGTAATATAGTGAGACGGTTCGTTCAAACTAACGCTCCTTCGCTCCTATATCCACTTAAAGGAAATGTTATTGTATTTGTGCTAAGCGGCTGTAACGCAATCGAATTTTAGGGCAATTTTCGACCGGTTTCATTGCTCTTTGGAATCTCAAACCATAGTACGTGCTTTCATTTTTGAACTACTTGGAAAAAAATATACCATTCATGGAGTCAAAATGCAAATGAATGATTGAATGAATGATTGAATGAATGATTAATTAATACACTATAGTCATGATCGGCACATTGTGTTTTTGTCTCTTAAAATATTGGGTAGACGGAAGTCTGTTTTCAGTTTCAACGTAACTATCCTACTGGGAAAAAGCCATCACTTTTCATTGCTTACTTGGCAGTTTTGTCTGGAAGCCTCCCTACGATCGCATCTAAAGCATGGACATGGATAATCGAGTTTTGCCACGCTCGATGAATGCTGAAGGTAAGTGAACAGGTGAAGCAGCCATTAACCAAGATGGAACGGCTTCGCGTGTATCACTGTCGCTTTCTTCCTTTTTTTAATATTACAACAAAAAAAAGCTTGAGGCAAAAATGCCTCCTTGGGTAAGTTCAAATCCCTAGCTTCGAAGCGTGCATGGACAAGTGAATAAACGAAAGCTTCATATTAACGGAAGTCACGATTCAAGTGGAAAACAAACCGATTACGAATTTTTAGAGTAGCTCTTTAAAATAAGCCCCTATCTTAGAGAGATAAAAACATTAACAAAACAATTCAATGCCAAATTTTAAACGTAAGACCTATAACTATGAATAGACGAATTGTTTCACTGTATTCAAAGGTATCCCTTAGTCAGGATTGCGTTACCAGTAACACGTGTTTCTAAAGAGAAAATAATTACAATTCAATGTCTGTTGACATCAAAATATTTTTTCGCCGGTTGGGTGAGAATCCCACGACATTATTTGTTATTTTTAAAATTTGCGCTGCAGTATATTGTCTTTCCCGATAATTTTAATGGGTGATCTGTTAACAAAGCGTCCTACTTCTTTGAAAACATTCAAATCACTTCCTTTTCAGAATAATTAATTGCAGATGAGGAAAATTTTCTAAGTTTAACCGGGAAGAAAAGACAAAATTTGAAGCACTAGAATGACTATAATGAGTTTTAACTATGATTTCGATTCCACGGTTAGTATCTCATCAGCAAAAATTCGTAGTCCTTGGGGCATTTATAAAATATTACTTCATTTATTACTTAGTTCGTGACTGTTGTGTTGATAAATCAAGTGTCTTAAATATTTGAATGTCTTGTTCAGTTCCGTAATTTTTATTTCGTTTTGTTGCTGGTGTTTTTTCCTAGTTTGTTTGCTTGTTTTCTTTTTCAGGTGTAATACCTTTGTGGTAATTCTACTTAAATCTTGGAGGAAACGTAGCTACAACAGACACAATTACTTCCCAGGAAGACATCGCTTTGTGTGTGATACAACACAGCTGCTATCCACATGACAATGGACAAAACATAGCTACCCCATGGCAGCGATACAGAGTTCACCAGCAGTCGACATTGCTTAATTTATCTTTTGTAATCACACTGATGTCAAAATACAGTCAGGAAATATGGATCAGTGATTTAACACCTTCACGTCCAAACGAGCTTGCTGTGGTGAGTGATTAGTGAGGTTACGACTGATGGCAACATACAAAGTTAACTTCTTGTCGGCTGGCTTATCATCCACTGTTGAAGTAATTTAACTAAAGTGTTAGTGTAAAGATTACAAGTGACTGAAGGAAGATCAGAAACGTCAAAATTGAACAACCTAAACATTAATACTTGCATAATCTATATGTATTTCTAAAGTTCAGTCGGCAGTGCTTTATCTACGAGTAAAGGCTGATAGTTTCGAAAGAAACTGTTTCGGGCTGCGTCGGTGGGAGTAACGAAATAATTTGGATATATCAACAAAGTTGAAATGAGATGCAATGAATATATGAAGTTCATATATTTTGAGTTATATTATAAGTTGAAATGGTAATCAGTGCTTTATCTAGCCTGTGATCCGTGCAATCTTAGAGTTGTTACGTATTTACTTAGAAATGTAGCAATGTAAAACCGACCCACCGTTCTCAGGTGCTGTGAGGCTGGTATCTGAGTTCCAGTGTGGCACAGAATGATAAAATTTTAAAACCGAGAAAAAAAGCTTATTGTCTAAGAAAGGATTAATTGAATTTATTTCGACTGTTATAAAGAGGTCTTTTAATCAAGTTATGCATCTTCCCCTTCTATTTTACTTTCTCGTTTCAAAGATCTGAATGCAAATTCTCTTCAATCAGTAAACACAACAAATATCCTTCATGTTGAATTTCTAAGAGACAGTTTTTCACGGAGACAAAAATACTTTGTGGAGAGAGTCTTTCATTCCTTTACTTTTGTTCCCTTCCGACCAGAAAGTAATAATGATGCAGAATTAATGAGCTGGTGATACACTCCTTTAAGTGTTGGACTAAGACCTTTCCTCTGCTTTTCTTCCCAGAATAATGGTGCTTACAGGATGATATTGAAAGCATATCCCAGCCGAGGTGTGGTTATCAGCAATTCTTCAGTAGACTGTAGAGGGAGACCGCTTCCCCCTTATGCTCGCCTACTCACTATCCTGCTTCCTACTGGTGGTCCCAATATTTACAATGCAACCGTGCAGCTTACCGAAGAGCTAGAAGGAAGGGTAGCTGTATGTGATGAGATCGTATTCACTGTAACAATAAATCTCCCAGGTGGAAACCAAGGTCATTATCATCAAAATGGGAAAGTTTTTTACATTGAATACCCGCTTCCAAAACTTAAACTTGCAGGTCAGTGTTTTACTGAAATTACACAAGAAAATTATTTCTCTTCCTTTTTTTTTATTTTTTTTTTTATTCATTTTCATTATCACATAGACAGGTAAAAACAAGCGATATAATATCCCGATGTTTCGGCGACCTCATGACGCCATTATCAAGGGTACAGATGAAAATAAAATTAAAAAATGCGAGTTTAAGAGTTACAACTAATTTGCATAGGGGAGGTAGCTACACAAATACTTTAGCACGGATAGAATCCGTTTGCACGTTCAAACTCGGTGTCATGAAGTCGCCGAAATGTCGGGATATTATATCGCTCGTTTTTACCTGTCTATGTATTACTAAATCTTTGTTAATACGGATTTTCATTATTTTTATTATTATTTCTGGTCAACGGTTGAACAAAAAAAAATATAAAAAATTTAATCATCAGGAAATCCTGTATCTTGGATCCGCTTCCCGCCACCCTACTGAAGCAGCACTTCTATCTACTCCTACCAATTATCTTGAAGATTGTCAACTTGTCGCTGGAGACCCCTTTTCTTCCATCTTCTCGGAAAACTGCTGTTCTATCTCCCTTACTTAAGAAAGCCAACTTAGACCATGAGTTCTTGCTAACTATAGACCTATTTCAAACCTTAAGGGAATCTCAAAAATTATTGAAAAGGTGGTTGCAGTACGTCTTTAAAACTATTTAGAGGGTAACCAGCTATGTGAGTCACAACAATCTGCCTACAAACCTTTCCATAGTTGTGAAACTGCTCTTGTGCGTGTTCATAATGACATTTTGGTTGCTATTGATAAACACAACCTGACTGTGTTATGCTTGTCCTGTTAGACCTTTCTGACGCCTTTGACACAGTAGATCATGATATACTCCTTACAAGATTGCAATCTAAATACTCTATCTCTGGCACAGCTCTGCAATGACTTCGCTCCTACCTTACAAATCGTTCGCAATTCGCGTTAATCAAAGGTTGTAGAGCGCAGTCTCGCGAACTTAAGTGCAGTGTACCGCAGGGCTCTGTACTAGGACCGATTCTGAACGTACTCTATGCAACACCACTGGCTGACGTTCTACGATTCCACGAAATGCAATTTCATTTTTACGCCAAGGACACTCAATATAGTATATTTCTTTCTCTACAAACAACGATATGGAACTAACCCACTTTATTACTAAGATTGATGCTTGCCTGTCCGACATTGATAAGTGGATGTCCATCAACAAACTAAAACCGAGGTTCTCTATTTATTCTCAAAGTATAATCCACAGCAATCCCAACCCCCTCTTCGCTTTGGAACCGACATTATCAAGCCCTCTTCACAAGCTAGAAACATTGGCGCTATCTTCGATACCACTCTGTCGATAGACTCCTTTCATAAATGACTGCCGAATTAATATTCTTTTGTTTAAATTTAAATTAGCCCTTCTGGCCTCGCTTGAGATAATGTATTCTTTTGAATTTTAAACTGGAGAACGAGGGCAGCACGGCTAATTTAAATTTAAACAAAAGAATATTAATCCGGCAGCCATTTATGAAAGTGGTCTATGCTTCCCTATGTAATCAGCCTGAGTGTCTGTAAATCTGTCATTTATCATCTTCGTACTATTTCGCGTATTAGGAAATACTTATCAACGCAAACTACTGAGATTCTTATCCATGCTTTCATAACTTTCAACCTCGATCACTGCAATTCTCTAATATACAATGTTCCTAAATACGTCATCAAAAAGCTTAATCAGTGCAGAATGCAGCTGCCAGACTGATTACATGGTCTAGGAAGTGCGATGACATCACTCCCATCCTCCTCGATCTTCACTGGCTACCTGTCTCTGAACGAATTAAATTCAAGATTCTACTACTTACTTTCAAAGCACTGCATCAGCAAGCCCCAATCTATATTCAAGACCTTATCACTCGCTACTCACCTTCTAGATCGCTTCGTTCATCCCCTATGCTCAATCTGAATCCTGTTAGTTTTAACCTTAGGACCTATGGTTCTAGCTAGAGCATTATCTGTTTCAGCCCCTAAACTCTAGAACAAATTACCCAACAACATACGCTCATGCGAAAACTTAAATCTTTTTAAGCATAAACTTAAAACCTACCTCCTTGAGAACTTCTACTTTAGCCATTCGGAAATAGACTTTATATGTTTTTACTTCAATTTTAAGTTTATTTACTTGATTAAATTTAATTTTATATTTCCTCTCACTTTGTTAAGCGCCTAGATCTATTATTGGATAGGCGCTATATAAATATCATTATTATTATTATTATTATTATTATTATTATTATTATTATTATTATTAGAGGGATGAATAAAAATCTTATGTTCACAAACCACTTTAACAAGAAAATTTACAAATTAACAAAAAAAGCGAGGACTAACTAACAAATCGTTAGTGGTTTAGCGTGGTCTGTACTCTTATCGACAACGATACGTGTCATCACAGTTTTCAAAATATTGTGAACTCACTGTCGATTTTGTTTTTTACCACAAGATTCTTTTGTTGCGTGACACGTTGACGCGAGCAGCGTTGTCTGTACTCTCACGGACAGCTGCAAATTGGCCAATCAGATTGCGACATTACTGGTAAAATTATTTATTTGCTTCTGTGTTCCTTTATTTGTTTCAGTATTTAATAATTCCTTCAATCAATAGGGGTACTAAAGCATCCTTATGCATGGGATATCATAATGAGATTTGAGAACCTGTCAGATAATGGTAAGCTAAATAGTTACACAGTCAAACAATGCTATACAATTCAAATTAACTTCCTGATTGTGAGGCGGGCTTTGTTTTGAAGTGTTCTCGCCTATTTTGATAATGTTATCTCTTGTTGATTATTATTAGTTGTGCACAAATTTCTTTCCCTAACAAAAATGGCCGTGCAAAAATGATCGTTGTTACGGCGATAGATTTTCAGACTGAATCGAAGTCATCAATTAAACTACGACGAGTACACAAATATGGTAACTTTAATGATCCAATACGTAAAAACTGAAACAAAGGTACAATGACCAACTGTCCTTAACTGCCTTATAGTGAAAATAAATAGGAGTCATTGAGCGATTATAAACAACATGAAACTACAAACTAATTTGAGGCGACAGACAATCAACGAACCTAATAACAAAGAAAACGGTAACAACAACTACTACGTACCTCTATCCCGACTCTGGCTGAACAACGTTGAAGGTGGCAGAAATCTTACAAAATAGCTTAGTGCTAACATAAAGCTCGAGCACCGCTCGCGCCGACCACGCTTTTTTCTACACTTGACTGCGCACGCACAGTGACGTCACGCATAACGCAATGGTAACGCTTACAATCGTCCCTACATTTAACCCTCTCACTCCCAGCATCTCATTACTGTCTGCAACACAATTCTTAGTTGTTTTTTTTTTGTTTGTTTCTTTTTTTGGGTATTTTTTTTTAATTATTAGGTTGCAGAATAATCCTCTAATCAACATTTTTCTTTTTCTTATCACTTGGTCACTGGTGGTAGTTGAAAGGGTTAAATGCCTTTAATTTGCATTTGAAACTATCATGACAAGCGCGACAAGAAACAGTACTGGACATAACTATCTTACAGGAAGAGGAAGGAAATTATGAAGCAAAAAGTTTGTTGTAACCTTGCTAGGAATCAGTAGGATTTTTAAATCATACTAAAAATACACTTAAAAAATGAATTTTAAAGACACAACAAACTTGCACGGGTCCTTACAATATGATGTTCAACCGGCTGGAGTGGTTCAAGATGATTAAATTTTGCTCAAGGATATTGAGTGGGCTCTTAGACAGAGAAAGAGGGTGATACCAGTGCATAGAAAAACGTTTATTCTTTACTTATTTGTTAAATATTTATACAATTATCTAATGTGTGGTAGGCGGAAAAAATCAACTACATATACATCCCTACAGACCTGTTTCGTGGTTGCCCACTCATCAGGGGATTTTAAAGGCAGAATAATGCGATACCATCGCTTACATACTATACTAATTGCTAATCCGGTATGGTTTATGCAGTGTGAAAAGTGTCAGGTCAGCTGTTGCGTAGGAGCGCTTTGTTTCTGTGTCGGCAGGAAGAGACGAGTTCGTTACGCTTGTTGAGTGTTGATAGGTCTGGGTGGCAGATGATCAGGAATTTCTCTTTTAGGCATAGGTTGCATCGTTTGCTTGAGCTGTTGTAAGGCAGGTGGGAAGATAGGATGCGCCAGGTGATGGAATAATGGATGTTGTCTTTAAGTGTCCAGATGTGTTTGCTGAGTTCGGTGGAGTTGCGGTGTTTTGCGTGTCGGTGTTTTGCGTGTCGGAATGATGAGGTGTGGTTGTTGTAGGTATATATATAATTATCTATTCATTTTTTATCCAGGGCAATATTTATTATATAGACGGCACAGAAAGAGCCTGGAAAAGTGGGCCAAGACAAGACCCCAATATCAAGATCTGGTTGCAATGGTCTTAAATGAGGTACTTCACCAAGTAAACCACTTTCACATTAATCTTATCATCGAAGGGGGGTGGGGATTAAATGTGATAGTCCCACGACGGCACCATACAGCATGAGCCTAATTCATGATTTATGCCTTCGCAGCCTCAGTAATGCTCAGTATCATTCCACAGTCCCAATCTCATTCTAAGAGAGGGATCAAAGGAACAGGAAACTCTCTATTTCTAAAATAATTATTGTTAAGATTGTACTTTCTGATTTTTTTCTTTAAGGAAGGTGTGGCGTGCCTTATCCGACATAGGCTTAAAGAGGGAGTTAATCTCGCGAAAAAAGCTTGCCCTTTATCCTCATTCCACAACTGTGTGAATGACCGCACCATCCGTGGTTATGCATCTGCTGTGTATGCCGCTGCGGAACGATTTGGTGGTAATCAAGATGGTGCCAAGCAGCATCTCCAGGATGCTTTGGAGGTAATAATACTTGTTTGTGGATTTTTTCCCCAGACTTTGGACCATTTTGGCAAGTGCTTCAGGAAAATTGGCTATCCTGAAACAAGGAAAGATTAACTTCCGCTCTCTCTCTTTCTGTTCTCTATGTTGAACATTTCGTTGGTCAATGTGAGATGAAGAAAACCTAACAAAAAGATTTAGTTATAACTCGTTTGGCTCAAGTTTCTCCTCATTTGATTACATGAGGGAAAGTGGTTGCCTTCAATGTTGATAACTATTTACTTTTTCTTTTCCACCACCGACAGATATTTGATCCAATGGAACCATCTTCCTACACATCAATAACACTCTACAATGTTGGTGCAATAGCAATGGAGAGATCTGCCACCGTGGGAGTAAGCAACAGCGAAGAAAAAGAGGCAGAGAGTTTCCTCCAGAAGGCAGCTATGCACTGGAATCATCAAAGCCTTAACAAAACAGCTCGCATGCTTCCTAGAGTGTACAATAGATTGATTGGCCTATATCTCAAGTCCTCTCCAAATTCAGCTCCAAATCTTAATGTTACTGTATCACAAGACAACCTAAGACGTGCTGGCGAGGTAATCAGGAGATTTGGTGTCCTCCTTCCTGAATGCTCCAAATGGATGAAGAGCACTTTCTACCTTGGCAAGGCAGATCACTGGATCAGAACAAGAGATATTGACAATGGTAAGAATGACTCGCTTACCTACATAAAAAAACAACTAAAATTAGCACTTTCTTGTCAACCCTATATGCATCATGTCAATTTAGTAAGACTATTCTATATGTTGTGTGTCTTATTGGTCTGAGTCAAACATGCATCTATCTCTCTCAGAAATTATTAAATTTCTTCAACCGATTGACTGAATTTTGTTCCCTACTTGTTGATTGATCGACTTGTCATTTATTGATTGATAAATTGATGGTACATCATGATCGATTGCAATTCTAAACACGCAATATTTGACCACAGGTTTAAGGGCTGCACAACAAGCCTTGGATATATCCAGGCAGTCTGGATTACAGAGAGAAGCAGCAGGGGCAACGAGCAGAGTGAATCTGTTAAGAGAGCTGGATGACCTTCGACGACGACCACCAATTGTTCCTGATTGTATGAGCTAGATGCGGTGTGGCGATACAGCTGTAGTTTAGAAGTTCATGACGAATGGAATTAATTTAGTTCCTACGGTTGTTGCTGCTCTTTCTCTGCAGCAAGTGGTGGGAAAACCACAAAATTATGGCCTAGTAGATGTTATTTTGATACACTTACATTAACTCTGTCCCTAACCCTAACCCTAAAGGTAGCTATTTATTTATTTATTTGTTTCTACTAGAACATTAGGGATGATGTTTTAACTTAGTTTTATTAGGGGGTCCACTTGCAGATTTGGACCAGGGAGTCCAAATCTAGCAAGGTCAAAATCTGCTAGGACACCGGAACTATTGTGGAATGTAGTTGTGTTGGTAGAAAAAGAGAAGTATTAATTAAAACCACTTGGATGTAATCAATCTCAGCTGCAAGAAGTACCCCGTCAGCTGATTAGTTTGTATTTTTCTGGTTTGCTTACATGTCCTGATCACTATAATTGTCACTGGTCATGACGCAAGAAACGTTCAGGACTTACTTTTTAGGTAATCATGGTTTTCCGAGTTTTCTGAGTTGTTCAAGGCTCCGACACCTTGGCTGATGGGTGTTCAAAAGTATTTACGTCAACATCAGCTTAAGATGGTTTAATTCAATTCCCCAATTCCCCCAGAGTTCCTACACGAGTTTATTGATGGAAAATCTGGACAAAAATAAAAAAAATAAAAAAATAAAAAAAGAGAAGAAAACAAATACACACCAAAATAACAAAACAATTAAAAAAACAAAAAATTTATAGATATGATATATAGATAGTCTGATTTTCGCTATTGCATAAATAGCGCTCTCTACTGCGAGGATCGTGCATCATACGTAAAAAATATATAGTTATCGATAGCAGGTAGAACGTTCAAGAATGCAAATAGGCCCTCGTGTGGTGGTGCTCATGGATCAATCTGATAAAGAGGGGAAAGAGGTGGAGAAAGGAATGGAGGTGGAAGAGATGAAAAGAACCAATTAAAGCAGGACAAAATTAATCAAGGAAAAAAAGATGGTAAAAAAAATTGCCAAAAACAAGTAAAATGAAAGGAATTAATAATAGGTGCTTAGGAAAATCTGTAGAGGGTTTCACAAGTAACATGATTTATTGTGTAATTTGGTGTAAATAACCACTTGAAAATTTTTTGAAGACCACAAATTGCACTCACTGCAATTTTGTTGCCTTTGAAAAACTTACTTGTGTTTTAATTGACATCAAATTGCACTCAAAATCATTTTATTACCTATACCTATAAAAAGATTACCCACAGATCTATTATACAGAATCACATCTAAGCTTCGACAAAGACTTATTTTGTATTGTATTTGTATTCATTTTTTCTGAAATAAACTTTACATGAACCATAAATTTGCACGAGTTTGATAATTGTTGTTGTAAAAATACAGAGTTGGTCATCAATTGTTGATGGTGATGTTTGTCTGCTACACTGAGAGTCACTAGTAAGAATACTCCATTCGATCAACAACAGCTGGTAAGTCTATAATTATGTGAGATACACTACTAAACAGTCATTTATCAAAAAAATTACAATCCTTTATCAAAAAATGAACTATCCCTTATAAAAATGGAATTTATAACATAACAAGTGATAAGTAAAAAGAGGAGACTGTCTGAGCCTTACACCTCCAACTTGTAATGGAACTGGAAAGTATAAGGTCTATTGTGACTTCACAATCAATATATCTTATTAACCAAGCGCGAGGGCTGTACTGGGAGAACATCGGCCCGAGGTCTTGAAAGTATGGACCGAGC